GTCCTGCGCAACGTCTTCGTGGCCGAGAAGAAGCAGGTGCTGACCATGGAGGTGGTTTGTGCCCACATGGCCGACAGCTACGACGTGCAGATGCCTCCTGGTAAGGAAGCTGAAGGATGGTTCTTGGAAGCATGGGAGGGTGTTTGCATGGGAAGGGGCTGTGGAGCTGAGCTCTGACCCGGCGGCTGCTGCTGCTTTTCTCGTTGCAGGGGAGATGGAGAAACACTTGCGGCTCTTCGCTGAGCTGCTGCCCAACTGGGTGGGCATCCACACCATCAGGACAGACACCTACATCAAACTGGACAAAGGGCAGGACCTCGGCCTCATCACCGAGAGGCTCACCAAGGCAGCAAAGGAGGCAGAAACCCTCTGAGGCCAGCAAGGGTCGAGGCTTCCCCCATGCAATCTCCTTTCAATGTAGCAAATCCCACTGGGATCTGGTGTGGGCTGACGGGAGGCTCATCCTCGGGGATATCTGAGAACAAAATGCCTTGCCTTAACTAATTCCTCTGCCAAGGTCCATGAGGACTGTAGCTCTCCTAACCCTCAGGCTGAAGGCAGGCGGTCCTGTAGCCTGGGTGACAGTGCAAGCAGTGGAGGGGAGCTATAGTAACCTCTTCTAAACTCTGTTGTATTCTCCTGCAGGTTTGATGCAGGAGGTTTCTTCCGTTAACTGGGCTCTGCTGGGGTGGAGGCAGGGTTGAGAGGGTGACAGTCAGGAAAGAAGTGAGAGAAGAAGTCACAAATTGATGTTTTTGGAGCTCTGGGCCTTGTTCTGTTTTTAAGGGAGGGAAAAACGCATCTCCAGCACTCACTGGAAACAACTACAGAACTTGTCAAAACACATTTGTATTAAATGTTTTAAATATAGCTGACTTGTGTTAACCCAGCGCACTCCCTCCGTGAGTTGCCTTGTCTGCGTTAGCACCGTGGCTCTCCATGGCAATTGGCACCAGCCGGGAAGGACTTGGGTCAGCATCCAGCTCCTGGAGAAAGAATGACTGGAAAAAGTGAGCGTGGGTTTGCAGGGAACTGAATGCAGCTTTTGTAAAGGGGCAGCACAAGCAGCTTCCTTTGGGACAGGAGCAGGCAGGGACAGAGGTCGGCACAGGGAGGGGGGTTTCCCAAGGGAAAGCCCAGGCCACTTGGCTGAAGTGGGTTGGGAAGAGGGACAAAGAGGGTGCTGATGGCTGCAGAGGTGCTGGCCTGGCCCAGCTCCCAGGTCGGGTCAGTGCTTGCAATGTGGAGGAGTGGGAGCTGCTTCCAATGGGGAGGAGTGGGAGCTGCCACGTCAGGAACACCTCACGCCACAGCCTGAGCCAAATTTGCACGGGGTTTAGTGTGGGGCTTGCACAGGAGGGTGACTGATTGTCCCTCATCCCTCTGGGTGGGGACCACGCTGGTCCAAAGGAGGCTTCCCCCCATGATTTTGGAGGTTGGCAGCATCAGACATCCCCTATAGAGCTGCCTGAGGGAGCAGGCAGACCCTCCTCTTCCTCCTCCAGGACCCTGCTTGCTGTCCCACAGGCCAGTTGGGTTTAAGCCCATCCCAAAGGCTGGGGCGATGCGAGGCTGGGCCGTTGGCCGCGCTGCATGGACCTCACCGCAGCGGGGAGCCGGGTCCAGCAGCCTGGCAGCCACACGCCTGCCCCGGGAGAGCTCACAGAGCGCTCCTGTTCTGCTGCTTGGGACTGAACCCTCCCTCCTGCCTGGAAGCCGCCCCTGCACAGCCCGGTCTCTATGAGCAGATTACACCAACTGGTTCTTGCACCCTGCCCAATGCGAAGCACCGTCCCCATGTTCCCTGATGTCACCTCTTGGCTCCGCTCGCAGCCAGCTCTGGCACCGGCAGGGCTCCCAC